CTGTAGCCTCTGTAGCACTGATTCAATCCTGTCTGGCCGGCGAGGGTCCCACATGGCTTGGCAGACCTCTCCCATCGAACCCGCTACTCCCCTCAGCAATTTATTTTGGTCAGTCTGCCTGTTCTGTTTCCCGCTCTGTCTCTGGTGAATCCTCTCACCTTCCTGTGAATCTGGCCTGTACCCTGGTTCTTAAATAGATAAATAAATCTTAAAAAAATAAAAATAAAAAAATGCTCACCTGGTGTTTCTTTTCTTTTTGTTTTGTTTTGTTTTGTTTTTGTTTTAAATAGTTTCTGCATTCAACAGGACTTTTTTTTTTAAGATTTATTTATTTATTTACACAAGCACTGGGTACAGTCAGAAGAGCGGGAGGGTGAGAGGATTCACCAGAGCCAGAGCAGGGAGCAGAACAGGTAAACTGACGAAATACACTGATGAGCAGCAGGCGACAGAAGAGGTCTGCGCGCCATGTGGGACCCTCCTCCAGCGGCCGGAGATCGAACCGGTGCTGCAGAGGCCGCGGGTAGCTTCTCAGCCCAGTGCTCAACAGCTGTGCCACCGGGGAGGCCTTGTTTCTTTCTTTTTATTTGGGGGTGGGGGTGTAGAGAACTGGGGCATAAGCAAGAGGTGAGGGGGTGAGAGGATTCACCAGAGACAGAGTGGGGAGCAGAACAGGCAGACTGACTGAAATGCACTGCTGAGGGGAGCAGTGGGTGAGACAGGAGAGGTCTGCAGAGCCATATGTGGATTAGCTCCCTGGGGGGGCATCTCCCTCAGGCCATAGTGGTGATAGCCTCTCAGCCACCAGGGAGGCCCTTACCTGGTGTTTCTAGGCAAGATTCCCTTCATCATTCAATAATGGTTTTGCCTTATGTTGTAACAGTTTTTCAAATATCATTGTGTTTACTAGTCTATGTTGTATGCTACATGTTTCTGTCTTTTCTTGTTCTTCTTTCCTTATATACTGAGAGTTAAAATAGTTGAAATGAAAATCAACACGCAAAAGTCAGTAGCCTTCCTATACACAAACAATAAATCTGAAGAAGAAGAAATCAAAAAAACCACCCCTTTTATTATCGAAACAAAAAAAATCAAATATTTGGGAATAAATCTAACAAAAGAGGTAAAGGACCTATACAAAGAAAACTATAAAACACTGTTAAAAGAAATAGAAGAAGACACAAAGAAATGGAAAGACATCCCCTGCTCATGGATTGGAAGAATAAACATTATTAAAATGGCCATCCTACCAAAAGCAATATACAGATTCAATGCTATTCCAATCAAAATCTCAATGGCATTCTTCAAAGAAATAGAACAATTATTGATGAAATTCATATGGAATCACCAAAAACCCCGAATAGCCAAAGCTCTACTGAAAAAAAAAGAAGGAAATGGAGGCATCACACTCCCAGACTTCAAACTATACTACAAAGCCATAATCATCAAAACTGCATGGTATTGGAACAAGAACAGACATACAGACCAATGGAATCGAATAGAAAATCCAGAAATAAACCCACAGATTTATGGTCAACTAATCTTTGACAAAGGAGCAAAGACTATGCATTGGAGCAAAGAAAGTTTGTTCAATAAATGGTGCTGGGAAAACTGGGTCGCTACATGCAAAAGAATGAAGCTTGACCACTACCTCACACCATACACAAAAATCAACTCAAAATGGATTAAAGAACTAGACATAAGACCTGAAACCATAAAATACATAGAAGGAAATATAGGCGAAACACTACGGGATTTGCACATCAAAGACATCTTTACAGACACATCACCCAAAGCAGTGATAGTGAAGAGAAAGATAAACAGCTGGGACTACATCAAATTAAAGAGCTTCTGCACAGCAAAAGAGACAATAACAAAAACAAAGAGAAACCCCACCAACTGGGAGAACATTTTTGCACCCAACACTAATGATAAAGGACTGATCACAAAAATCTGCAAAGAGCTGATGAGACTCAACAACAACAAAGAAAATAATCCAGTCAAAAAATGGGCAGAAGAGCTAAAAAGAAACTTCTCTGAAGAGGAAATGAAAATGGCCAACAGACATATGAAAAAATGTTCAACATCACTTGTAATCAGGGAAATGCAAATCAAACTACCATGAGATACCATCTCACACCAGTGAGAATGGCACATATTAAAAAAACTAGCAACAACAAATGTTGGCGAGGATGTGGAGAAAAAGGAACTCTTGTGCACTGTTGGTGGGAGTGCAAACTGGTCCAACCACTATGGAGAGCTGTGTGGAGATTTCTGGACCTACTAAACATAGAGCTTCCATATGATCCAGCAATTCCACTCCTAGGTATTTACCCAAAGGACACAGAAACATCAATTCCAAAGAGCACCTGCACTCCTATGTTTATAGCAGCACTGTTTACAATAGCTAAGCTTTGGAAACAACCCAAATGCCCAAAAATAGATGACTGGATCAAGAAGATGTGGTACATATATACCATGGAATATTACTCAGCATTCAAAAAAGATAAACACATGCAATTTGCAGCAACATGGATGGCACTGGAAGGGATCATGCTCAGCGAAATAAGCCAAAAAGAAAAAGAAAAATACCGGATGGTCTCACTCATAGCAGGAATCTAGAAAACTTAAATAAGGGACCAGGAAAATGAATATAAGAAAGTGAAAATCAAAATCAACAAAAAAACTATGAACCAGAGACACTTTTTGGGGGGTGGGGGGCGGGAGGGGAAGGATTGGGGTCAGAATGGGGCGTTTGCAATTGTATGGGGGAATATAAAAATAAAATTTAATATTTAAAAAAAAAAAAATAAAAATAAAAAAATAAAAAGTGTTGACAAGTAAAAAAAAAAAAAAAAATAAAATAGTTGAAATGTTCTTTAGAATGATTAGTGGCACATCTTATTAAATAACATAGGGGATGCAAGTTAGTGTAGTTTCTATGGAAAATAGTATGGAGATTTCTTAAGAAAATAGAAGTAGCAATTTTGCATGATCTAACAATAACTGAAGTGGGTATTTATCCTAAAAATATGAAAACTTTAATACAAATGTATGACTATGTTCATAGTAGCACCGTCCATAATTGCCAAGTCATGAAACCAACCTAAGTGACCTCCAATAATAGATAAATTGTGAGATATATATCCAATGGAATACTACACAGATACTAAAAAGATGAAATAGTGACTTTTGGGGAAAAAATGGGTAGAGTTTGAGGTAATTATACTAAGTATATAACTCAGAAATTGAAATATAATTGGATGCTTTCACTTACCTGTGGACTATAAATAACCAAAAAACATACCCAGATGAAACACATCAGGAATAAATCCTGGACTTAGTAAAGAGAATTAAATGGCTACCAAAGAGAACAGGTGAGGGAAAGTAGAGAGAGGGATGGGACAGGGACTTGGGTGTTTTGTGGAGGTGAATGAATCATGTGCACATATGAAGCAAAAACATAACCTCCAAATTAAAATTTAAAAAAATATGACATTAAAAAAACCTATTGCTAATTATATTATGATTTTAGAATACTTTTATTATTACAATAAGGACTTACTAAGAGTATAAGGAAAAGAAGTATGTCATGTCAAGAGTTAACAAAATTGTCAAAATATGGAATTAAACACCTAAGATACAACAAAGCCTATGTTTTGAAAGTTTGTGATTGAGATGGAAGCAAGTTAACAACATGGGTGGAACCAATATATTTTAGAATTTGAGAACAATTTCTCAGAGACACTTATCCATGGACAAACTCAATGACATACAATAAGCCCATACTCTCCTATAGTGTGGAGGTGTGTGATGAGATAAACTGTCTTCAGAATAGCCCAAATATAACAATTTCCTGTTCAAACTCTAAGTGACATTTTGATGAGAAATCTACTTTTTCCATTCTTGCTTCACTCAGCCTTCACAGAACAACTGTGAAGATCACAGATATTGTTTTATTGTTTACAGGAGTAACCAGGTCTCCCACTAGAGGATAGACAACTTCCTGGCTCACAGAAGGTATGTGCTGCTCCTCTCCTGTCTCTGCTGTCTTCACTCTCCAGGCAATTTTAGTGGGAGATTACAAATGGCACATGTGTTGTAACAATTAATATATTATTTACTATCAAATAAAAAAAAAACACTAATATCTTTATTTAAGTAATTCAGAGTATAAAATAAGAAAAAAATATGATGTTCAAAGATTTCTTAGCATATTCATATTCTTGCCAATGGAGTATTAAACAAATCAAATAAAGTATTAAACAAATCAAACACACTTGCATAATCAGGTTTGTAAATCAATGCAGTTTAACCTGAAATCCCATAAGCAACATGACAGGGATTGGTTTATTTTGGAATTTGTAAAATTGATTTACAATACTCCGATGATTCAGAAAGACAGGATCCCATTTCTTCAGGCATATGTTACATTTACAAAGTATGCTTTAAAATTTTCATGATTTATCAGAACTCTACAATAATTAGAGATAAATACAATACCCTAACCCTTCATCCCATTTAAAAAATAAATTTAAGACACTAAATAAATTTTTGTGTAGGAAATAAATATATACACTAGTACTATCATTGCCCCAACTTGAGAACACTCTATGTTTAACCATTCATGGATTTTAAAATTGCTGTATTTTTTTCTACTACCATTTTAATTTCAACAGTTATACTATAGTGTTAAATTGTGTCTGAGAAATTAAACTTAAATTAATGAGGATATTATTATTAAACTTTTTATTCCTTGCTAATTATTTGCTTTACACTTCAACAAATGGTAATGGTCAAACATTGAAGAACATTTTTAAAACTAAGTATTCTGTCAATATCAAGTAGCACCTGAGCAAGGCTCTGAGACTTTTACATTGTTCAGTTGCATGAGTCTGGTAGCTCCTGCCACACTCCAACCTCATTGGCTACATGAGGTCTTGTCATCATGTGCACCATTAACTACTTTAGTTCAGTGGTCACAGAGCAGAGCTGCAGAGATGAGTAACGGAAGAGTAACCTATGCAGAGCTGAAAGTGGCAAAGGGCGCAAAAAGACACCAGATAAAACCCAAGGGCACCAAACGCTCCGTTTCAATACCAGAGAAGGAAATAACCTACGCAGATTTAAATCTTCAAAATGTTTCGCCGGCTCTTCAAGGGAATGACAAGAAGTACCACTGCAAAGGTAAAATATTTACTAGAGACACAATAGAACTGTTCTAGTATGTGCAATGATGAGTAATTTTTTTTCCAGGTATTGTTATAATTTATAACTGTTGACCAACAACACATAGGGTATTATGTTTACTGAAAATGCAATGGATATCCTGGGAGAAAAGTTACAATGGGAGATAAAGGTCTGGGGTCCAAGTTTATATATGTGACTCTCTGCATATGAAGATTCTCTTGTCTATAAACTGTCTGAACAACTGTCTCCTTCTGTCCTTTCTCAACTTTTCCATTTCTCTCCTTGCAGGCTTAGCAGCAACTCCAGAGAAGCTCATTGCTGGGATCCTGGGACTGACCTGTCTTGTCTTGATATGCATAATTGTAGCAGTGATCATTATTTACTGTAAGTAAATTTTGGAAATATCAGAGAACTTTTCATTTTAATGATCATCTGTGCCTTTAAATATTTCACAATATTAAGGAAGAGAACTAAGAGAACTCTCATTTTAATGTATGCATTTAGACTAAATATGGAGTGGTTATTCTGAATTTGTCAAAATACAAATAATAAAATGTATGGAGTACTATATATATTAAGATTTCAAAACTCAAAAACAATCTTTAGAAGGCTGAAATCACTTATTGAGGAGTAGGAATTAATTAAGAAGACTGGTGAAACAAAGACTGGGTGAAGTCTGGTCCTTTATGCTTTTGAAATATTTATTCCCAAATGCTCATTATTTTATTCAGGATCCTTCTGAAATTAATTTTGCTCCAGATAATTGTAATCCTGAACAATATAGCAAATTTCAAAGTAAGAAATTAAATTTATGACTTATTTAGATCAACATCAATATTTATAAGAATTACTCTAATTTTTCTAGTGTCTGAAACATCGGAGGGAAAATCACCAGCCCAGACAACAGGGAATCAAACAGGTATACAGCAATTTTCAGAGTTGAGTTATCAGTACAATTCATATTTATCTCTATCTTACACTACAAAAAAATTGTAACTAGTATGTTGATGAAATGAATTTCAAAATCAGGTAATAAACAAGCAATGCATATAATATTCCTTTGTATACAGCAAAGAGAAAAACTCACTTCAATCACCATACCAATGTTGCCAGTTGGCTCAAATTTCTGGTTGTAATAGTATATTATATATAATATATATAAATATAAATATATAAATATAATATATATCAACAATAGGAAATATATAATAAATCATGTCTTTGTTCATTGACTTTCAGGACATAGATAGAGTCAATATTTTTTGTGAGTGTTTGCTTTATATGAGCCCATAAATTAATGGATGAGAAACTGATCTTTCTTAGTGACTCTGTGGATGTGTGTTTGTTTTTTTTTTAAATAAATATGTAACAGCCTGTGAAATGCAGAGCTATATAATTAAAATATCTCATTCCTATGCATACAAGTAAATTCATTTTCAGTTTTGAAAATTCAAATTGTTTGTTTTGGGTGATAATTTGTAATTTTCTTCAGGCCGTCACTGTGGCCCTTGTGCAAAGGAGTGGTTAACATACTCTAACAGCTGCTATTACATCAGTCCTGAGAAAAAAACCTGGAATGAGAGCGTGATGGCCTGTGCTGCTAATAACTCTCACCTGCTCTACATAGATAATCAGGAAGAAATGGTAAGATTCTAAATATTTGAAATGTTTTATTAAATGTAATTTCAGTCAGTATTATATTTGCAGGATTCATCCGTCTTTTGTACATATTTTCAGCCTATTTTAGAGTCTCATATTTCACGGTTTGATGTCAAATATTTCATTTATACTTTTATATCATGGATGCATGTTTGATAATTTCCAAGTCAAGCTTTTCTTAGAAAACCATGCTATACATGGTGCTTTTATCTAAAATAAGCCTCTTATCCCATACATGTGCTTTTATCTAAAATAAGCCTTGCTACTTAATTTTACCCCAAGAAAACTAAATTCTACATATTTGTCATCAAGTGAAAAGACAGATAATTGCAAATTGGATCATTAACTAGAAGTTTCCAGCCCTCACATGCCCTCCCCTGCCACATTCTTCATCTTTCCACCCTCCCATGCTTTATTCTAGAAAAATTATGGTTGTATATATTGTGTTAAGTCTTTAATCCATTTTGACTTAAGTTTTGTATATGGCTAAAAGAAATGTTCGATTTTTTTTTTTTTTTTTTTTTTTTTTTTGTGCATGAAATAGTCAGATTTCCTAACACCATTTGTGAATGAAACAGTCCTTTCTCCACTGAGTGGTCTCGGTGCCCTTGCCTGGTCAGGTATTTCTGGATACCTTGTGAAGTTGTTTCCATGGCAGAGCAAGGGTTTGGGGTTTCCTTGTTGATCCCTTTCAACCCAAAATTGTGTCCAAGGGCCTCCCTGGTGGTGCAGCGGTTGAAAGCTGGGTTGCGAGTCTGCCCGCAGCCTCTGCAGCGCCAGTTCGATCCCCGGCCACTGGGTGAGGGACCCACATGGCACGCAGGCCTCTCCTGCCGCCCGCTGCTCCCCTCAGCAGTGTGTTTCGGTCGGTCTGCCTGTTCTGTTCCCCGCTCTGTCTCTGGTGGATCCTCTCACCCCCTGCATCTCTGGCCTGTATCCCAGCTGTTGTATATATATAAATGGGTAAATCTTTTAAAAAAAAAATGGAAAATTACTATAGAAATTAGGATACAAGAGAAGAGATGACATTAAATCTGCACATTCTTGGCTGATGAAAAATATGTCAACATGTGTAGAGAACAGATGATCCCACTAAAATCAAAAATGAAAAGAACAACAACAATTAGAAAACTGATTGCAAAGTTATGAGCAATCCTCCAAACCCACACATACATATACACACACACAACATACAACACACACATCAATGGCATGTTGGAGTCCTGACAGAAATTCAAATCATAATCAAATGACTAAACATTGACAACAATAAATAGGACATAATCTTGAGACATAACAGGCAAGATTATGTGATAATCTGAATCATGTGAAAATCAGGGATTAGGTGAGATAATGTTCCACCTCTACCAGCAGTTAGGCTGTGTCATCTCATAGAGAACCTGCATTTGTCTTAGACACAATTTTGTGGGTTTTTTTTAAAGATTTATTTATTTAAACAAGAACTGGGTACAGACCAGATGTGCGGGAGGGTGAGAGGATTTACCAGAGACAGAGCAGGGAACAGAACAGGCAGACTGACTGAAATACACTGCTGAGGGGAGCAGCGGGTGGCAGGAGAGGTCTGCACGCCATGTGGGACCCTCCCCTGGAGGCCGGGGATTGAACCGGCGCTGCAGAGGCTGCGGGCAGACTCGCAACCCAGCTTTCAACCGCTGCACCACCAGGGAGGCCCTCCATTATATTTTAAAGGCTTAAAGAAATATGAGCTTGCCTCAGTCCTTACCTGGCAAATTCAGCAAATCCAGCATTAGAAAATCTGATGTAATGAGCTGAAAAATTAGCAGGCTATCTAACAACCTTCCCCGCCCCAGTGTTATTCAAGTCTGCCCTCTGGTAATAAAAGCACTGATTTTTGCAGTCTTCCCCAAATAGTGAAAATTATTCTTATTCTGGGAATGAGCTGGGAATGGGGAGGCATGGGAGCTCTTGGAGGCAAGAAGACCATAATACATTCACTTCATCATTTGAATCTCTGGCAGTTTTTCCCTTGACAAATACTTCACAAAGTCTTATTAGGTTTTGATAAATTTTCAGAGGCCTGAATTTTTTTTTTTTTTTGTAATTATTTTTGTCAATATATCCTCCTCACTGAAGTCAGAGCAATTCTTTTTTCTCATGGTAATAGAACATTACCATGGAAATTGTAATAAGGGCGTTTCCGTTACCATGGGAAGGACAAATTAATAAAAAAATTAAAAGACTATAAGTGAAAATGAAATAGCTATTTTTACTACAGCATTCAGATTAGTATAAAAGATTTTATTTGACTTCTTACAACTTTTGTTTTCTCATAGAATTTTTTGAAAATATTTTATATCTTTCCATGGATTGGAGTCTCCCGCAGAACCAGTGGGGATAATTGGGTGTGGACAAATGGCTCAGTTTTCTCTTCCAAACTGTAAGTTTCTCTTTTTTTTTTTTTTAAGATTTATTTATTTTTATACAAGAACTGGGGTACAGGCCAGAGATGCGGGAGGTGAGAGGATTCACCAGAGACAGAGCAGGGAACAGAACAGGCAGATGAACCGAAGAACACTGCTGAGGGGAGCAGCAGGCGAGACAGGAGAGGTCTGCTGTGCCATGTGGGTTGCTCCCTGGCCAGCCGGGAATCGAACATGCGCTGCAATGGCTGCGGATTGCTTTATAGGTTGTGTCCCAATCCCTGAGCCACCAGGGAGGCCCCACTAAACTCTAAGTTTCTTAACAACTCTTATAGTTTATGACTGGAAGGAATTCATCTGAGCAAGAAAAAGCAATATGTGAACAAATATTTGTTTCCATTGAAGAATAACTGGAAGATTCAGATTTAAGCATGTAATAGTGTCTAAAATATTGCTAGTTCTTCAAAAAACGTTACATGTTTGCCAAGATTAATTATGTACTGTGTTCTATATTTCAGGTTGACGATATCAGCATCTCAGGAATCGCAGGGCAAGAATTGTGCATATTTCAATATTCAAGATACCCGGCTTTTTACTGAATACTGTTCAGAAACAAAAAAATATGTATGCAAGCACCGGGTACATGAGCTTACCTAAATTTTGTATATGCCATTCTCGCTAACTGTAAAGAACACATTTCCAGTTTCTTTAAAAGTTATGTATTTTTTTTTGTTTATTATTTAAATTTTTTTCTAGCAGTTTTGAAATCACACAAATTCAAGAAAATGGTAAAAGATTTCCACACAGGCATATCTTCCCACATTAAGAACTCCACTATCCAAAATTGTTCCTCTGCTACAGAATATGTGTCTTCATGGCTCACATTAATCACCCAGAATCCATCATTCACCTGAGGCTTCCCCTTGGTATTGTAGATTTTTTTTTAAGATTTATTTATTTATTTATAAAAGAACCAGGGTACAGGCCAGATGCACAGGAGGGTGAGAGGATTCACCAGAGACAGAGCGGGGAACAGAACAGGCAGGCTGACAAAATACACTGCTGAGGGGAGCAGAGGGCATGATAGGAGAGGTCTGCCATGCTATGTGGGTCCTTCGCTGGCCGGCCGGGATTGAACCGGTACTGCAGAGGCTACAGACAGCTTCATAGCACGGTGCTCAACCACCTGCGCCACCAGGGGCAGGGGAAGCCCATATTGTAGAATTTTTTGAGAAGTCTTTTTTAATATGAAATTTTAAATTGTATACCTATGTATATATTGTATATTTCTAAATCTTTTGCTATCTATTAAAGTAAATCATGTACAGATTGTGAATTATATTATTGAGCTATTATATATAGATCCTCAATAAGGTGAATTATTTCACTCATATTTTCAAGGTAATTGATTCTTCCTAGCCCTTAAATATTTCAAATCTCGCATAGAAAAATGTACAAGAATTGAGTCAGGAGTTTGAAACCAAGATAAGTTTGATGTAAAGATTATTTAGAGGGGCTGTCCTCCTAAGAAAAAATTACAAAACAAAAAATTACAAAGAAAACCTTGGGGTGAACAGCAAATAGCCAAAGGAGGGATTGCTTGGATTCCAGGCCTCCCTGAGGATGTTTTTTAGTCTTCTGCACTGAAGACATGTGGCTGCAGACAGTTTCCTGGTGTGATCTCTGGCTGGTCTGGAGACAGAGATACCACAGTCACGGATTCAGAATGGAGAGGACGGATCTCAGGACTGTGGAGCAGGAAGACTCCCTGACAGAGTGTCTTCAGGCAGCTGCTGGAGGGCAGGGAACTATAACTAGGACTACTTAGAAAGCTGGCAGGAGGTGAGATCCCCAGCACCTCTTCCATGGGTGCCCCGACAGCTGCGTCTCAGCCAGTGGAGCAAACACCAAGAAGCTTCCAGGAAGTGTCCCTTCCCTGCAGTGTCTCCCCAATACCTCTTACAGCAAAACTAAACATCATGTGTGCCAACAATGGAGAAAAATTTAGTGCCATTATGTCAGAATAGGACAGTTATCTCAGCATAAGGATTGATTTGGAGCTGAGAGTAATAATCTATTAATTGGCACTCAAGTTTACCATGCAGCAATCACAGAGTTGCTCTATAAAAGCCTTTGGATCTGTCCTACTTACTTGGAAAACCAACACGAATATTTTGAATCAGATTCTTTTTCTTTTTAACTGATGTACTGTTGTTTTATAATACTATGTATATTAAGTTTATAGCTTTACATCTTGATGAATTTGTATTCTACACCACAGACACCACCAAAGTTTCAGAACCATTCACCACTGTAAAATTGATCCCCAACTGCTTGTTCCTCTCATCCCCTTCCATTATGGTAACTGCCTTTTTGCTGTTTTGTCTAAGAATTTTGTTGTTGTGTTTTACTGGTTTCTTTGTATTACACTCATGAGTGCAATCATACCATAATTGTCTTTCCCCTTCTGACTTAGTTAACTTAATTATTTCAAGTTTTATCTATGTGTCACAAATGATAAAACTGCACTTTTTAATGCTGAGTGATATTACTTGTGTGTATGTGTGTGTGTATAAAATGACATCTTTATCCAGTCATCTTTACATGGGCATTTAGGTTGTTAATGTCTGGACTTTATGAATAATGTCTATTTAGATCATGTCTATTTTTTTTCATTGTTTTCTTTTCAACATTTTTTGGGGGGATTGAGCTGTGTGAGTTCTTTATATATTTTGTATGACAATCCCTTGTTGATGTATGAGTTGCAACTATCTTCATCCAGTCTATAAGAAGTATGTTTTCATGGTGGTTTCTTTCAATGCACAAAAGCTTATTATTTTGATGTAGTCCAATTTATTTTTGCTTTTGTTTCCTTGTCATTGGAAGACATCTTTAAGCATACATCAAGGACTGTTTTTCCTATGTTTTATAACTAATTTATAGTTTTAGGTTGTTCATTCAAGTCTTTAATCCATTTTGAATTATTTTTTGTGTATGGTGTACGTGGAATATTTCATTCTTTTACATGTGGATATCCACTTGTGGAAGAAAATTTCTTTTTTCTATTGTATGTTCTGGCTCCTTTGTCATAATTTAACTGTTGCTATATGTGTGGATTTATTGGGGGTCTCATTATGTTCCATTGTTCCATGTGTCCATTTATTCTAACACCATAATTTTTTTGATTATTATTGTTTTGTATAGTTTGAATTCAGGGAACATGATACATAATGAAATTATTTTTTGGTAAAATTTGGTACTTATATGGGAAACAATAAATGTCTTTTGATATTATATGTATATCTGTTTTTTTCTCCCTGTTGCAATTCAGATATTTTGGAAACTCTCATTATACTAATGTCTCTGTTTCTCTTCACAATGTTTAGAAAATAACTTTGATGAAGGTAATAGAATTATAAATAATAAAATAAGAATTAAAATGCTAAAAAATATTTGTGTGGCCCCAACAGCTAGTTACTGAAATAATTTGAGAGAAACTTTAGTAATTTGACAATGAGAGAAACTTTAGAAATTTGACAATGACTGAGAATTATTTCTGCCATAATTCAATAGTTTATTTTCATTTTCTAGATAAATATTTGACCTACATTTATTCCCTTGAACATAAACATATTTTTAAAGTTTTATTTATTTATACATGTAAGAGTTGGGGTACAGTCAGAGGTGTGAGGGTGAGAGGATTCACCAGAAACAGAGTGGGGAACAGAACAGGCAGATTGACTGAAATACACTGCTGAGGGGAGCAGAAGGAGAGTCAGGAGAGGTCTGCTGCGCCATGTGAATTGCTCCCTGGCCAGCCAGGGGATCGAACTCGTGCTGCAGTGGTTGTGGAGAGCTTCATAGGTTGCATCTTAACCCCTTGTGCCACCAGGGAGGCCCCATAAACATGTTTTTTATATTCTCTAAATTATTTCCCTATATACATGTAGGAAAAATATGTGAATATTCAAAATGAATATTTAACAAGATTGGTAAGAAGGTGAATGCTAGGCTCACCTTCAAAGCAAACATTTAAACAATTCATTAAAGTCTTTAATGTTCCTTAATGGCAATCTAGCTTTCAAAAAAGAAGCAGCAATAAATTTTGACTTGTTATGAAAGACACTCTGTAATGTGATATTTTTACAAAGCAGATATCACATTTTATGCTAATTGAGGTGAAGGGGTAGCAAACTACCAGTTATAACCAACTGCAGGAGAAACGAAAATCCTCAGATTCAAAATATAAGATATTCAAAGTGGTTGCTAACACAATTTTAGCCTTGTCAGAGATAACCTTCCTTGTATATTATCTAAATTAATTAAAACATTGATAGAACTACTATTTTATAATAGAAAAGCAATGCTCAAATTTCAATTGTTAATTATCAATATAAATAGACAAAAATAACCAAATTTTGAGGAGAAAGTTACAAAACTAAATAAAACAAAACTAAATACTAAGACTAAACAGGATATAAACTGATCAAAGCTAAAACTTCCCAATAAAAGTTATCAGATGTCTTGAGATTAACTTGTGAAAATGATGGCTTTTCATATTTAGCTAAATCTTTATTTCAATAGCTACTGCTCTGTAAAAACAACCACTGGAAAAGCCAGCTTGGTAATGATTGAAGAGTTTTAATCTGAACCTCCTTCCCCTTCAGTGATATTCAGTATAAAAAATAAATACAAAAAAAAAAAGGTATGGGACATAAGTAATCTCTTTGAAAACATTAGGAAGTTTAATATTTTGTGATGATTAGAGGGAAAAGTAAATATAAAACTATGAAGATAAAGTAGTCTTGTGAACTATAAATAGAAAATAGAAACCTTCTGGAGATATTATTATCCCAGGTCACATAGGACTTGGGGGATACAGTCCAAAATTGCAAAGAGTACAAAAAATAAATACAAATGATAAAATTTTTGAATATTGATTACAAAGTATAAATATTTAAGACAAATAAAAGTGTGAGAGAAATAGTCACATCAAAAAAGTTAGTGTCTGCGGATTGGGTGATGGGGAAGAGACAAAGAAATTTGAAAAAGTCACAAGTAGGAATTCAAGAAATAAATACAAAATCATTTAAATGAAAAATCAGTGGAGTGATTAAAGAACAGATTAGACACTTTTAGTGAGTTTTATAGAATCTTACTTTAGATTTGCCTGTTTTGAAATTTTATATGAATTATTCCTAGTACATGTATTTTTACATTTTTGTCTCTCTTTTTTTTTTTCAGTCAATATTATATCCATGAGATTGAAATGTTTGGCTTAACATAAAAATAGTTCACTTATTTTCATTGTCATATATAATTTTATTGCATAAATATATGCTTTATTTACTGTTTTTGGACAACTTAGTTGTTATCATTTGTATTTTTAAGAATAAATTTGCTATCATTGAAGTGTATATGCTTATATATATATATATATATATATATATAGTGAGAGAGAGAGGGAGAGAGAGAGAGAGAGAGCTAGGAATAGATTGCTGAATCATAAGGTATCCATAGATTCACCTTTAGCAGATTGTGTAAAGTGTTCCAAGAGGTTTGTTCTAATCAATTCCTTGTCTTCAAATTACTTAAGTAAACCCAAAATCTATTTGGATACAAAATGCTGAAGTTGTCAATGGTGTTATTTTTCTCAAGTGTGTGGATATTATTGAGGAAGGAAATGTCAGTTTAAAAGCAAACAAACAAGTAACCACTAAGTCACACATAGGATTTACCTAAAAGCAAATCTGAAAAGTATTACTATTTGTGTATGGCTGTTTATTCACATGTTCTAAGATAACAACACCACAGGGATAAATACTTTTCTGTCACCTTATGAATTACAGATTTATATTAAACAAACAAAATGAAATTTCCTGGTATGAATTAACTAATATAATGAAAGCATGTCTTTGTGGGGAAAAAAATGACATGTCACTAGAATTGCTCATGTTTAGAATCACATAAAATCTCAACTGGAGACAGGATTGAGAAATTATACAGCCATTCCTAGACCAGGAAACCATAACAGGTAAAAAAAAAAATCAGTTAGTTGCCATGGTTACCTATGCTTCTTCCACTCCCAATGAAGCATACACTCAAGATTTCCAGAAGCTCTGCCTAGTGTTCATTCTATTACAATATGTGACATTCTAAGTGTCTCACTCAACACATAAAACACAGCCAAATGTATTATAGATTATGAGTAAATATTTCTTCAAGTGTGTTTTGCTGTGTCCACCCAGAGACCGTTTTTCCTAGTCTCTTTTATTTATTGACTTAATTATTCTTCTGAATTTTAGATTTTATTCTTTTGGTTTGTTTCAATTCAAACACGTTTTCAGAAAAGCCAAGAATATAATAGTTTCATTTGGTCAAAACCACATACTTATTACGCTTTTGCTTATGGGTGACTGTCCAATAAACATCCCCAAAACATGTAGCTTTCACACCACAGTTGCAGTGAGCATCCTGCTCAACAGACTGTTTCTCACCACAGAGTTGCACTGTGGTCTCCCCTCCCCCGCGTCAAGGGCTCACAGGAAGAGCTAAGTGTGACCTCAGCCCTGTGAGGCAGCCTGCGTCTTGCTGGCCAATATGACCAATTGATCAGCTCGAGAAGTTTGCTTACTTAACAACAATAATTTTTAAAACCTACCTCCAGCCTAACAAAAACTCATGTTTGCACAGTTACTTGAGATGCTGGTGATTTTTCTTAAGTGAGTTAGGTTGTTTGCAAAGCATTGCAACTTTCTCCAATTCTTTTGAGAGGTCAGAAATTACATACATGTAACTTTGCGGCCTTCCCTGCCTTTCTTACTTACTTATTTAACTCATTTTTCTGGACTCATTTAGAATAGGCCTCTTTGAAAATCCTTTCCTAAGCCTATCAATTCACTTAGAGCCTTTAGGAGGGCTGCCATAACTCCCCTTGCTTAACTTTATCAGGGTAGTTGTTTCCAAATAAATTATGCTTGTAGGTGAGTTTTTATGACTCAGCCACAGGACTGACTCTAAGTTCCTATTGGAGCTAAGTGAAGTTAATAGAATATTCAGGGCCTCCCCGGTGGTGCACCAGTTGGGCACTGGGTTGCGAAGCTGACCGCAGCCTATGCGGCCCCGGTTCGATCCCCGGCTGCTCCCAGGCCACCGGAGGAGGGTCCCACATGGCGCCGCAGACCTCTCCTGCAGCCTGCTGCTCCGCTCAGCAGTGTACTTCGGTCCTTCTGCCTGCTCTGCTCCCCGCTCTGGCTCTGGTGAATTCTCTCACCCTCCCGCGCTTCTGACTGTACCCAGTGCATGTATAAACAAAACAAACAAACAAACAAATAAATAAATAGTATGCCTCTATTAAAAAAAAATAGAATATTCAGACGTTTTGTTCCCCTTTTTCTCATCTTCTATTTAAAAGTTGTAAAATCTCAATTATACTTAAAGGCATTAACATAAAGCCACTTTTCTCGAAAGTGATTCTTTGCAGCGGCTGCTGATAGTTCATAGTGCTAAGACTTAACACCTGGTGCCACCAGGGAATCCCTTAAAAAATTTATTATATCTCTCACGTAAAGCTATTGGGTTTTTATCTTATTCCTTTTGAGAAGATTTTTAAAAACCCACTGATTTCCTAAAACTGATTCTAGCTTTAATCAATCTTTCCTGAGTCAACTAAAATACTAGCCTATGTTGATTTATCTCCTACTATTATATATAGGAGACAGTTACAGTGTCTAACTGATCTATTAACTGAAGATTTTTTTACTAAAAATAATCTTATTGATTGAACATACTGATTGTGGATTTAGTGACTGAAGTTTTGTATTCATGAGCACATAAAACAGCTGTTTTTTGGTTTTTTTTTTCCAGTTGTTTCATTCTACAGTGGTCACTTTTTGGGCAAGAAAGATGAAACTTGAAGGTATTGTGCTAAGTAAAACAACTCAGATGGAAGAAGATAAATACTATATAATTTCACTCACTTGTGAATTATAGTCACAAAGCAGATGAGCAGATGAAACAGAGACACACCTATACTTTTGGTGGTGATATTGATGAGCAAGATATAGATGTCAAATTCAATTGCTGTACATGAGAAATTTACATAATGTTATAAACTAATGTATTTCAATAAAAAAATTCAACACTCTAGAAGACTTCTTGTTATAAGATGATTATAAGACTTAACATCTGTTTCATCAATTAGTTGTTTTCAGTGCAGTGATGAACAGGGGATGCTGTGGTTTTTTGACTGTGCATTTTGAAAGGAAAGAGTATATCTTTCTCTGAGATCAAAATTGATTCAACATTTCTAGCTTCAATTTTACATTAGAAACTTCAATGTGTAAATTATCCATTTGAATGGGATTCCACAAGTTTCAGGACCTGCTTTTTCTTCAGGTGTGAGTCTTTATGGGGTGTGTCTGTGTCTATGTGTTTCTGTGTGTGTGTGTGTGTGTGTGTGTGTGTGTTCTAACAACTATTATTTAAGAAATGAGGAATTGTTGGGGTATCAAACTCAAGATACTATGTAAAAATATTTCTACTATAAGGCAGTTCTAATGGATTTGTATTTGAAGAGAATTATTTAGGGCAAGAAATGTTTATTACTTCTGAGGTATACTTGTTTTCACTTTAATCCTAGATAGGCAATTAGAAAATATACTTAATAAAGAACCAGAAGTTGTCATGTGGGATTAAACTTTATTTCTAAACAAAAGCAAAGAATTAATCTTACTTTTGGGATTAGAGAATTGAATTTCAGTTTGAATTCTGATACTTAGGAGTTTGCTGCTCTTGCAGAAGGCACTTAGCTTCTGTGATACACTACTTGCAAAATGAAAGAAATTGTATATCTGTTGCTTCCTGTTATTACACCAAATATGAAACTATTCATTTTTTAACCTAAGTACTATACCTCATTATTCAACAGCTAATTTTTTCAGGGAAACTGCTAGGTGCTGTAAGATGTTATGATGTACACAAATGTGAGATGCTTTTGTTCATGATGTGGTGATGGGAGCTTATTATAAATGATGATGGTGCTATGAATGGAAGTTGAATTAAAATGTACTAAGAAAACTATTCAGCAAAAATGCACACTTCCAACCCAAATTAACCTTGCAAAGAAAGAAATTATCACCAAATAAAATAAAACTACTATAGACGACTGTCTTTTGTCATTCAATATCAGTAAGAACAAGTAGTTTTAAGTATCTTTATGTAAGTGAACAAAAAACACCACTTATATTTTTTGAAATTTTTGAAATAATTCTTTATTATATAACCAAGAGATACAAAAATTTATTTTACTTGCCTTTTTATGAATTCTCATTTCTATCTCCCCCCTTTTTTTACATGACTGAGGGAATTTTACAGTCTTCTTACTTTTCTAATTAAAATATATCGTCTCACTTCACACACAAATAAAAGAAACAAAAACTAAATGCATACTTTTATTTTACTTAGGAACCTTTTATGAAAAAGACTTTGGACTCATCTCTGAAGTAAATTAATATTAGATGATGGGGTTGACCCGAGATAAGCGGACTAACCAGAATACAGGTATGTACTTTCCAAATAAATGTATAGTTTGGCCACTGTTTACTTTTAAGATCCCCGGAATCTGATACAAGTATGCAAGGCATAGGAAAGCACTGTTTCTCCTTCCTTATGTTCATTCCATATTTTGTTCATATTATGTTAATTTCATGTTTTATTCAAAAGCATGTCAGCGTCCTTCTCCCTTCATTAGTTAATTAACTAAAGTAACCTCTCTCAAAATTTGAGGCAGGTTTAATCATGACAGCTTCTGGATTTGGAGTTAGAAGAACCGAAATTTCACCAAAGATTCATTAGTCTTTTGTACTGAGTCTGGGGGAATACACAGCCTCTATGCACTTTAATTTCCTTTTCCATCAGCTAAAGATTAAAAAAAAAATGTTATATTTACCCTTACTGGAGTTCTATGATTTTCATCTTAAGTGACATATATTTGAAAATGCTTCTTGAAGTAAAAGCATTGTGGGGCCTTCCTGGTGGCCCATGAGGTTAAGTCTCAACACCATGAAGCTATTGGCAGCCACTACAGTATGAGTTCGAGCCCCAGCCAGGGAGCTAAACCACATGGAGCAGCAGACCAAGCCTGTCTTGCCTGCTGCTCCCTCAGCAGTGTATTTCAGTAGATTCATCTGTTTTGTTCCCCACTCTGTCTATGGTGATTACTCTTACCTCACCCCACATCTCTGGCCTATACCCCAGCTCTTATATGCATAAATAAATAAAATAAATCCTTAAAAAAATAAAAGCATTATAAACTACTTATAGAGGCAATATTTATATTAAATGTTATAATATTTGTCTCTTCTAAGATGCAGTTCTTCATCCATAAAATAAAACATGGCCTTTCACACGCTTAATAATTAAATTTATATGTAAATATACAATGTTTAGGTTTGATTTTTTTCAGTTTAATGTTTAATGTAAGAGGTAATTAGCACTAGTGTTTTATTTACACAAGGCTTCTGCAGAGTAATGAATACTCTCAAAAAGAAAGAGAAAATTATTGTTTACTTGTTTGTTTGAAAGGTAAGATTTTTTTCTTCATCCTAAGATTTTACTATACATTTTTATTCGTTGTTTTCCTTCACTATAAAGAAAGTGAAACATACTAGTTGCATGTGTTTGCTACATGATTAATACTAAATGCATATTATTTTATTACACTTTTTTTAATAAAAAAAACTTACCAAGTTGTTTCAAAACCCTGTGATATTTTTTTTTCTTTTTTCTTCCTTCCTTTATTTCTTCCTTCCTCTTTTTGGTTTTGCAACTCGTGAAGTTAACTTAGTATCTGTGGTTTTATGAGATACATATCTCATTTGGTTAGGTGCCTGTCTTTTTCATTCTTCAGTCTTTGATGTTAGATTTAATTGCATGTTAAGAATTTACTTATTTTAATAGTACACAGTATCTTGCTACACTATTTTTCCACAGACTAAATATAATTTATTTATATCACAGTGTAAACATCATAGCAATAAAGGAATAAAAAACAAAAGTAATGTGATGTTAACCTTTAAAAGGATTTGCGCAGAAATGGTAAGTTGAATTTTGAAAATTTATGACCCACGTGGAAGAAAGACCGTGACTCATATTGGTCTGAATTATCTTTCTCCAGAGCTCAGTGAATGTCATGGTTCTAACTCTGAACTGGTAACTCATGATATTTCCAAAAGAGAGCAAAGGAGAAGAATTACACCAATGACAACTAAACATGGAGAAAACTGTAAGTCCCCTATCCTGCTGGGCTTCTCTCATATCCTGAGGTGACTCAGAAATTGTTTAGATCAGTGATCAACAATCAGTGAACTTTACTTTCATGATGAAAACAGAAATGAGATTAACTCTTTTCTAATAGTGTAACACATCATACAATTAACAGAAAATATTATGTAGGATAATTTTGTGCCCTGAAATATTGAGAATGTCATAGTAATGAGTAACTAGAGATGAAAAGCAGAAAGAAATACAAGATAGTCTTCAGAATTACATTACAGTTTAAATCCAATGTGATTTTTATTCACAGAAACATTTCTGAATATAGTGAGGAAAGTATGTTGTCTTATGTCATATTGAATAGCATTACAAAGAGCTTGACAGACCTTACACAGAGAGAAGAACCACGCTACTCTAACCTATGAATCTAGATTAACTGTTAAAAATAATGGTCAGGTAGCGTCACTTTACTAGAGTTAATTATAAGAATGAAAACATCCAAGATGTAATCATCAAAGGGGAATTAGTGAATGATCATATGCATAATGTTGAAAAGATTTGGGATACAATTCAACATAATTCTTAATTAAGAATTTATTTTTTACAGCTTTTAAAATGGAAATGAATGTGTATAGAGAGAGATTCAAACCCTATCATTATGCTTATTGCCAAATGCTGGCGGCATTTTCATTATAGTCAGAAGAAGGCAAGAATTTTTATTATCATTACTACTGCATAATAATAAACACAAAAAAGGAGAAAAAGTAAATGATATGAAATATAATAAAGAAGGAAAATTAAAATAAAATTAAAATAATTTTGCAAAATTATTTGCAAAATATGTGATATAAAACATGAAAAACCTCAAGATCATCATCTAAAATATTAAAAACAAGGATATTTGAATTTGATTGAAAATAACATTTAAAAATCAGTTGTCTTATTAACTAACTTATTTACTTTCATATTAACAAGGTAAATATGATAGCATGCCATATTTATAAAATTAAATAACAGAAAAAAACAGAATCTTTTAAATAAATGTATTGATTCACAATTTTACTATGAACACAAAATAAGAGACATGCGTGATGGAAATAGAAACTCTTCTAGGATAAAAGACATTCTAAAAATGCAAATTATCTCTACATATCTATTCATTTAATATTATTCTACTGAAAGACCAATGCACTGTATTTTACAAGTGGCAGGCTCTTGAAAAGCTACCTTTAATGTTCTTAGGAACATAAGAAGCATAGTTATACTGAAAATATAAAAAAAATATAATATAATGTTGTGGGCATTATCCAATACTCAAACATATATAAAACTAAGGAAATTTTACATATAATTTGAATGGACAGATTAAAAAATTAGGAACACATGCAAATATATATGGGAATGTGTTATATGCCAAAGGTGATATTTCATATTGGTGAGATTATTTTTTATAATTTGAGTTCCTGAGTTATACACACACACACACACACACACACAGAAACTAATAAGAAAGGAAACTATGTAACATTATAGAAGGACAAGATCATGATTTATAAACTCAGAATAATGACAGCATTTTTATTCACATAAAAAAGTGTAAACCATAAAGTAAAATTTGATCAAGTCAACCACAGAAACATTACCCTTTCCTCACACCCAAAATATCAAGAAGTTAAAAGACAAATGATGCCTAAAACATGTGTTTGCAAAACAACTGGCAAGAAATGAACTACTATTTTTAAACTAAAATATAATAAAATGATACTTAAATCAAATAAGAAAAGTCTCAAAGAGAAAATTTGTATGCAAAATTATAAAACATAGTAAAATATGCTCAATTTTAATAACAAAATGTCACATTTAAAAATGTATTGTTTATCAAATTATACATTCTAAAATATGAAAAATTTGAGGTCAGTGGAAGGTATGAGCAAACAGGCTTTTATTTATTCATTCTTACTGAGGTGACATTTCTTTACTCCACCGTGTATGATTTAGGGTAATAGGCTCACCCCTCCTCTGATACATCTTACCATACCACACCCACTACCAAAGCACCCATAGTCTTTTAAATTTAATTTTGATACTACAAAAATTAGTAGATAATCTGAATGGAAATTGTTAATCATTACAAAAATTTACAACACAGTCATACTTTGACTCAGAAATTACATTTTCAGCAATTTCTCATAGACAGTTTCTCAAAAATAAGTACAGGGCCTTCCTGGTGGCACAAGGCATTAAGTCTCAGCACTATGAAGCTATCCGCGCCCACTGCAGCACTGAGTTCAAGCCCCAACCAAGGAGGTAACCCACATGGTGCAGCAGATCTCTCCTGTCTAGCCCACTGCTCCCTTCAGCAGTGTATTTCAGTCAATCCGCCTGTTCTGCTCCCCGCTCTGTCTCTGGTGAATCCTCTCACCCCCCTGCACCTCTGTCCTGTATCCCAGTTCTTGTGTGCATAAAAAAATAAATCTTAAAAAAATAAATAAGTCAGGTATGAATGAATTATTCATGCCATTATTCTAAAAGCAAAAGCTAAGAAACAAGATAAACATGCCTTGGAAAAAATTAAAATCTGTTAATAGATATGTTGCTAAAACAGTTTAATAAAATATAACTGACATAATTATAAAACATAATATGGAGTAATTAATAGGATGTGTATACTCATTTATTTTTTTTTCCCTTGAAGTAACACATTGGTTTACCACACTATGTAGTTTGGCTGAACAGGATCACACCCTTCAGGTGTGTTACCACACAACACTCACCACCAAAACTCCAGTACTCCTCCACAATGTTCCACTGGAACCTCACACCTCCACCCCTACTGCACACCCACCCATCTGGTTGCTTCAGTTTTATTGTTCATATGTCAAATGTTTTTTTATTGCTTGGTTATTATCTTGCCTTTTTTTGTTGTTGTTGCTCTATATTCCACACACATATGAATCCATCCTGCACATGTCATTCTCCTGATATATTGCATTTAACATTCCCCTTTCCAGATTCATCCACATTATTGCAAATGGCAAGAGTTAATATTTTTATAGCTAAGTAATATTCCTGTGTGTGTGTGCATGTGTGTGTGACATTTTCCTGATCCTTTCCTCTGTCCTTTGGCACATAGGTTTTTTCCATAACTTGGCTATTGTAAGTAGTGCTACAATGAACTTGAAAGTGCATACATCCCTTGAATTGGAGTTTTTGCTTTCTTCAATTAGAACTCTAGAGTGGAATTACTGGTTCATATAGTAGGTCTAATTTTAATATTTTAAGAAATCTCCATACTGTTTTCTACAGGGCCTGGATAAGTCTACATTCTCACCCAAGGTGTATAAGATTTGTTTTTCCCCCATTCTATTCCAACACTTGTTTCTGATCTTGATAAAGGCCATTCTCCTGGGTGTAATGAACTATGTCATTGTGGTTTTGATTTGCATTTTCCTGATGATAAGTGATGGATGATGAACATTTTTTTCATGTGGCTATTGTCCATTTGCATGTCTTCTTTAGAGAAGTGCCTGCTGTCCTTTATTTAAAAAAAAATGTGTTAATTGTTTTCTTGGGTTGCAAGAGTTATTTATATTTCAGATATCAGTCCTTTGTCAGATGTATCATATACAAATATTTTCTCCCATTAAGTAGGATGTTTTGTTTTTGTTGTTATTGCTTGTTTTATTGACATGTTCTTTCTCTGTGTAGAAGCTATTTAGTTTGTTGTAGTATAATTTATTTATAATTAACTTGTCTTCTCTTGCCATTGGAAAATAATTTCCAAAGACATCTTTGAAGCCAATGTCAGAGTCTTATGCCTATTTTTTCCATTTATCATATAGTTTTGCATCTTATATCCATGTCTTTAATCCATTTTGAGTTAATTTTTGTGTAAGATGTGATACAATTTCATTATTTTGCATATACTTATCCACCTTTTCCAACAACATTTGTTGCAGAAATTTTCTATAATGTATACTCTTAGCTACTTTTAATAGGTTAAGTGTTCATAGAAATGTGGGTTTATTTCTGGTCTCTCAATTGTATTCCATTACTTTGTGTGTTTGTTTTGTTCCAATATCATACAATTTTGATTATTACAGTTTTGTAATATAAAGTCTGGAATTGTTTTAGCTCCAGTACCCCTCTTTTTTTGTCAAGATTGTTTTAGCTATTTGGGCTTTTTGTGCTTCATTATTAATTTCAGTATTGTTTATTCTATTTCATTGAAGAATGTTATTGGAAACTTGTTAGGGGTTGCATTGAATTTATGTATTGCTTTGAGTAAAATGGCCATTTTAACAATGTTTGCTGTTTCGATCTATGAGCAGGGAATATATTTCCAATTGTGTGTGTGCCTTCTATTACATTTGACAATATCTTATAGTTTTTAATTATATAGGTCCCTCATTTGCTTTGTTAAGCTTTCTTACAGATATTTAATTAGTTTTGTTGTAAATGTGAATAGGATTGTTCACTTGATTTCTCTCCTTTCTAACTCATTTGCATACAGAATAACAACTGATTATTGCAAATTGATTTTTACCTTGAACTTTACTGAATTGATTTTTTATTTTAATTAAGGATTAGTGGAATATTTAGGGTTTTCTCTACATATTATCATGCCGTCTGCAAATAGTGATATTTTTTACTTCCTCTTTCCTACTATGGATTCCATTTAGATCTTGCTTTTGCTTAATTATTCTAGCCAAGACTTCCACTATTATGTTGAATAGCAGTGATGAATGTGGAGACCCTTGTCTTTACTAGTTATTCACAGAAAAGCTTTCAGTTTTTCACTGTTGAAAATGATGAGAGTTGTAGTTTGTATATATGTATTTCATTGTGTTGAGGTTTTTCCACCTATCCTTATTTTGTGAGTTTTTATTGTAAATGTAGGTGAGTCATATCAAATCTTTCTGTGCATTTATTGATATGATTTTTCTCCTTCCTTTTCTGGATGTGAATCATACTGATGGAGATTTGATACTGACCCATCCTTGTTTCCCTATATTAAGTCTCACTTGTTCATGGTGATAATCCTTCAATGTTTTATTATATTTGATTTGTTAAAATTTTGTTGAGGTTATTTTCATCCTGACTGGCATACCTAGTCACCCACCTTTTGTTCATAGATTTAAATTATTTAAATTTCCTCAACATCTCTTCTATTTTACTTGGTCAGTGTTGGTCTCTGTTGTCCAGGAGGTACTTTATTTTATTTTTTTAACTTTTTTTTTTAAGATTTTTTTTTTTTATTTTTATACAAGAGTGAGGGTACAGGCCAGAGGTGCGGGAGGGTGCAAAGATTCACCAGAGACAGAGCAGGTAGCAGAACAGGCAGACAACCAAAATATATTGCTAAGGGGAGCAGCGGAAAAGACAGGAGAGGTCTGTCTCGCCATGTGGGAATCTCCCTGGCCGGCCAGAAATCGAACTAGCGCTGCAGAGGCTGCAGACAGTTTCACAGAGCTATGCTCAACCCTCTGTGCCACAGGGGAGGCCCACCAGGAGGTACTTTTGTTCACCATAAATCACAAGGTTTTCTGTGTCAAGTTCCTGGTGGACTACTTTGGATTATCCTCCTGGGAACTAAGCAGGGAGCCTTCTCTCATGTCATCTTCTTCTTATGCTGTCAGGATATTTTCTTAATTCAAAAAATTCAGAGAATATTTGTGTAGCGTCTTAAATGCATATTTTTAAAGGTGAGCAAAGGGCCTCCCTGGTGGCACAAGGGGTTAAGACGCAACCTATGAAGCTATCTGCAGCCTCTGCTGCTCAAGTTTGATACCTGATGGCCAGGGAGCAACCCACATGGCACAGCAGACCTCTCTTGACTCGCCTGCTGCTCCCCTCAGCAGTATACTTCTATCAATCTGCCTACTCTGCTCCCCACTCTGTCTCTCTTGAATCCTCTCACCCCCCATACCTCTGGCCTGTACCCCAGCTCTTGTATTCATAAATAAATAATTTTTTTTAAAAAAGGGGAGCAGAGGGGCGACTATCCATATTTATTATTGCATCTGCATGAAAACATTTAATATGATGACTGTGATTTATTATAGGAGGGAACAGGTAACTTGTTGAGATGAATAAAGGGACATTACATTTTATATTGTTATTTTTAATCGTTTACAAAGCAATTGTTATCTACTCTGAGAAAAGTAATTGAGGAAAAAAGTACTGACACCATACTCACCCTTTAAAAAATAAGCTAATGTTTATATTAAATGCAGAGACACCTAATCCTTTAATCTTTATTTTGCTCATCTTTCACACTTTTTTTTTTCCCTGACAGCATCTCCATATTTCCTTGTCCATTCCATTGCTATAGCCTTGGGGATCCATTTTGTTTTAATGGCAATAACAAGATTGTGTGTCATGAACATCAATTGTAAGTGATAACAGAGAAGTAGTTAACATTGTTACTCTAATGACAGGCATGTGCTATTATGACTAAGATTCAGACACACAGAAACATAAATTGGTATTATTGAATGTATCCAAATGTTTTTGTTATCAACCTAGAAATGTGTCAACTATGCTTTCTTTAACTTAAATTACTAATAATACACAATCTTTTAATAATAATTATTTTTTAATTAATAAATTTTATTTTTATATTCCTCATACAATTGCAATGCCCCCATTCTGACTAATAATAATTATTATTTTAAAAGGGTTATTTAACCAAGAAGTTCCTTTGGAAGTTCCTTCGGAAGTTCCTTTGGAAGTTCCTTTGAAAGGTAAGTGAGAGTATTCCTCTATTTCGAAGCACAAAATACATTAATATCTCTCTCTCCCTCTCTGTTTTTCTCTCTCTCCATTTCACATGCACACATAGTATATAGGCATGTATCAAAAGACAACAAAAAACAGTGTAAGACAATGATTAGTTTTTATTCATAATCCATGTTTATATAGAGATATGTCAAGGGGAGTATTCAAATAATGATTTATTTATCTGGAATTTTAGAACTAGAATTAAGAAAAAGTATTTTACCTGTCTAGGCAAAATCTGCTATAGTGTTCAGAGCTATGTGAAATTAGTAATGTGTTCTCATTTTCTAGGAAGTTACTGTGGCCCATGTTCTGAAAACTGGATATGTTATAGAAATAACTGCTACAAATTTTTTAATGAGAGCAAAAACTGGCGTGACAGTCAAACTTCTTGTAAGACTCAAAATTCCACCCTCCTGAAGATATACAGCAAAGAGGATCAGGTGAGTATTTTTTCTTTAATTCTCATTCTTATGATTTATTCTAACACGTGAGAGAAATTACAAGAATATGAACCTGAGCATGAGAGAGACACGAAGATTCAGATATAGCAACCCCTTACATCTTTCTGCATTCAAAAAAAAAAAAAAAAAAACAGGTAATGTGTATGCATTGTCTAAGTGGAATTTATGCTTGAAAATGTATTTTACCCAAGTATGGGAAGAAATGATTAAATGACTATTACATTGTGATTATGTGCACACTGATTTTATTTGTGATTTATGTATGGTTTCAAACAGGACTTTTTGAACTTGGTGAAGTCATATCATTGGATGGGACTAACACAAATTCCATCAAACGGATCCTGGCAGTGGGAAGATGGTTCCATTCTCTCCTCCAACCAGTAAGTCTCTATAACAGTAGTATCATGTATACTTGTCCTACGCTAGCCTGATGATTGCTGAACTACCACATTGTCCTTCACAGCAATAAGGTATAGAGGTCCATATATGCATGCCAATAAATTGCATAGTTATGTGATAATGTGGTCATATTCTATAAGTACATATACACAGAGATTCTTCTTTGTAGAAGTTCCTGGGGTTCGATGTTGCAGTTCAGGATCCCTAGACCTTACTGTGTAGATGGACGTGCACACACAGAGAATGACACAAAGGTCTGGAATATACACCCAGGTACAGATGTCCTTGGCACCGGGGATGTTCTCCAGAACACCTCTGGTTAGGGAACACAAGCTAAGCATCACATACCTTCTTTTTGAAGTTATTGCCAGAGTGGTTGAGATATGATTAATGCTTAATAAACTATACATATCTAAAGATTGCAATTTAATAATTTTTTACCAGCATATGCACCCATGAGCCATTAATAAGATCGAGATAACTAATGCAATGATCTCTTACAAAACTTTCCCTTTCCAGATGCTCCCAGCTGTTAACTATTATAAATAAAACCACCTGCAGTGAGGGATACAGCTCCCTCAAGAGCCCACACTTCAGTCAGAGATAGAATTATAAACCAAAAAGTATAAGCCAGTGTAATCAGTGCTCTGAGAAATGATAACAGGTAGTATGGCAAAACATTTTGCACATCTGTGAATTAAGAAAGGCCAGGCATATTCTTAAAAGCTCCTGAAACGATACTATTTTCTTACTTATATTTGAAAAATTATTATTTCTTTTTTTTATTTTACATCAATTAAGTAATGAATTTGTTGTTCTTTCTAATCTAGACTATCCATAATTGAAATGCAGAATGGAAGCTGTGCAGTTTATGGCTCAAATTTTAAAGGTTATACAGATGATTGTTCACATCAAAATACCTACATTTGTATGCAGAGGGTGGTGTAAAGAGCTCACGATTCATTAAAAAAAAAAAAAAAGGATTCAAAGACACAAAACCCATTTTCTGAAGAAGAAAATTCTCCATTCTCATTTTTATTTTCCAGAAGAAAATTTTGCAAATAGTTATTGAACCATACTTTCATCTATGGCATGTAACAAATAAATAGGGACTTCCCTGGTGGTGCAGGTGGTTGAGCGCCATACTGTGAAGCTGTCCACAGCCTCTGCAGTGCTGGTTCAATCCTGGCTGGCCAGCAAGAATCCCACATGGTGATGCAGACCTCTCCTGTTGCTCCTGCTGCTCCCTTCAGCAATGGATTTCGTCAGTCTGCCCGTTCTGTTTCCCACTCTGTCTCTGGTGAATCTTCTCACCCTCCTGTGCATCTGGCCTGTACCTTGGTTCTTGCATAAATAAATAAGTCTTAAAAAAAACAAATAAATAAACATAGGGAATAACATTCAATATTAAAGAATTTATCTTCTGTAATGATATTTTTTATTTTTTTTAAATTTTTGAGTGATAAATGTGTATATTTAATGTAAGGTCTATATTGATATTCAAAAGTTCAACTAAATTTTAAAGGATGATTTCATTAAATATGCACATATATTAAATTTCTTCTAGAACTTTTCAAACTCAAAAATTTGAAAATTAAGCATAAGAGAGTGTGAAGGCTCATAAGGGTTTATTAAAATTCTTATATGTAGGGCCTCCCCTGGTGGCGCAGCCGTTGAGCCCTGGGCTGCGAAGCTGCCCGCAGCCTGTGCAGCGCCGGTTCGATCCCCGGCCACGGGCGAGGGTCCCACATGGCGTGCAGACCTCTCCTGCTGCGCCCACTGCTCCCCTCAGCAGTGCATTTTGCCAGTCTGCCTGTTCTGTTCCCCGCTCTGGCTCTGGTGAATTCTCTCTCGCTCCCGCGCTTCTGGCTGTACCCAGTGCTTGTATAAATAAATTAATTAATTAAAAAAAATCTTAATCTTTAAAAAAAATTCTTATATGTAAATATTTCAAAATAAGAGTTGAAAAATTAAACAAAGCACCCCCACAATTTCATAGTACAACTATCAATTTAATACCATATAGTGTGTTTGGAAGATATTGGATTATTCCTTACAGTATGAATATAGCACTGACTACCATAAAACAGATAATAAAGAACTGAATCTGGGGATCTCTTAAGGGTCCAGGAAACAACCGAAGACTGAATCTATAGAATGAAAGTCATCTGGGCAAATCGTTCAGGTCCAGTTTCGAGGCAAATGGGATAACACTTGCAAAGGTGCAGAAGGTAAAAAAAAAAAAAGTCTGTGAACCACAGGAAGGACATTTTGATGGGAACCTCTGGCCTATACCCCACTTCTTATATGCATGGACAAATAAATTTTTAAAACAACAAAAACTCACAGATTACATTGATATAACAAATAAAAATCTACATTTCAGGAAATAGTAACAAGGACCATTGCTAATGAAGCTAACCAGCAGATCATCCCCCAAAATTGCTCTTTGTTTTTTTAAAGATTTATTTATTTATGCATACAAGAGCTGGGGTACAGGCCAGAGGTGCAGGATGTGAGAGGATTCATCAGAGACAGGATAGGGTACAGAACAGGCAGACTGAGTGAAAAACACTGCTGAGGGGAGCAGCGGGCGAGTCAGGAGAGGTCTGCTGAACCATGTGGGCTGCTCCTTGGCCAGCCCGGATTTAACTCATGTTGCAGAGGCTGAGGTTTGCTTCATAGTTGTGTACTTAACCCCTTGTGCCACCAGGGAGGCCCCAAAATGGCTCCTCGATATAAAAATTATTTTAAACTGAAGACAATTAATTAAGTAGCGGTTTGGAGCCACTGTTACCCAGAGCTATCTTCTACCTTGTGTTCATTTCATTGTAATTTACACAGATAAGACATGAAAACAAACCAAGTGACCATGGACAGATGAATGGATAAACAGAATCTGTTTCATGCACACACACACACACACACACTGAAGTACTATTCAGGCATAAATGAGAAAGAATATCTATCATTTTTGACAACAAGGATGAACCTGGAGGTCATTATGCTGACTTACATAAGCCAGCCAGAAAAAGAAAAGGGAAGAAAGAGAAAGAAAAAAGGAAAAGAAAGCTGCATTATCTCACTTACATGTAGAATCTAAAAAGACTAACTTGGAGAACAGAGATTAGAAAGGTGGTATCAGGGGTTAGGGGCTGAAGGAAATGAGATGTTAGTGAAAGGATATAAACTACTAGTTCTAAACAACAAATTGCATATATGTGAGTGAATTAATGGACGTGTTAAGGAACCTTATTGTGTGGATCATTTTGCAATGTAAGTGCATCCAATCATATTACACACCTTAAATTTACACAATATTATACCTCAGTTACATTTCAACAAAGCCGGAGTGAAAAATAGCCTATTAGTAGTTCAATACTAAAACAAAAAATGTCAGCAGCAAACACAGGATTGGTCTTTCTACCTCACTTTTCTGACTAAAGGCAGAAAAGAAATTCTTTTACTGAAACAGACTCTTCTCAACCCAAAGATGGCACCAGAGGACTCTACAAACAAGCTGTACTCTATCAATTTCCTGTCATTACATATTAACTTCCCACAATTTGGCCCCTTGGGAACTTAAAATTGCTAAGACCCTATCATTTTTCTACAAATTGTTTTTGTTGAAGAAACTTTATAATAACTTCTACTTCTAGGCTGCTGTTTTGAGTGACTCTGCATTTTAGGTTTCTCTAGTATTTTGTGCATTGTGTTTCAATACAATGTTTTCTCTTGCTAATCTTTTTTTTTTTTCCAGTGGAATCCATGTTTTATTGAAATCCATCTTTCCAAAAAGAATTTGAGAACAAGATATATAAGAAAAAATCACGGTATATTTTACTATATTAAGCAAACTTATCTTGGTTGTCTTTATTTTTAAATTGGTGAGTCACCCAGGGATTTGTCCTTGATGAACTTTTCATCATTTGAGAATTTGAGCACTGGATGAATTTTCACCTGCCAATGAGCATAGATATAAGCTAATCTTTTTGTTAAAGACCTTTACCTGAAAACACAAGATGAGTAGGGCTATAATTTTGCCTCCCCTGCACTAGCTTCAACCCCTAACAAGATGAAGTAGAAAATAAGAATATCCACTGGGAACTGGTAACCACAAATAAGTGCTCATTTAAACATGCATCCCCATTCAACATAAGTGCAATGTCAGAAGTATTGCATTCAACATTTATTTAAAAATGTCCAAGGTAGTAATAGTTTGCCTGTTAAAAATTATGAATGAATTTTCAAATAAACTTCAACCTCCTTGAAAAGAATATTAACTAATAACCTTCCAAATTTTGTGAACACAAAGACATATGTCACTATATGGAGATAAAGATGACATACAGACAAGGATATGTCAAATATAATAATGTTTTAGCCATTTTATTATTAAATAATCTGCGTCAGGGTATACATCAAATATACCATTTTTTAACCCAGTGTAGGTGTGAAATTATATCAAAAGTTAAAGACAAATGAGTCTCCTTGACCTCTTTTTCTTACATATGAATCTAATATATCTGTAAACCCAAGGGCATGAAAATATGCACATAAATGCATATGTACATATGTACATGAATATGTATCATTTCTCACCCCCATTACTATTAGTATTGCTGCATTGTCAGATTGTAATTTGTGACTGTGGATGAGGAGGAGCAAGCCAACTTCATTTCATTCTGGGTCAGTTGGGAACTTTAAGGATTGCAAGTAACCCAAACATGTCAAAGTCCTTCTCATAGTCTTCAAGCTCTGTGTTTTCTGTTACTTCTTTCTCCTCCAAGAGTATATCAACACTATTTCCCTCCAGCTCTGGAATCCAGCCTCCCTGGTCTTCACTCCAAAACAAAGCCTTTCCATGCAGCTTGCTTTTCTCTCCAAAATAGTCTTACTTCTGGGTCCCTGATGACCTTTATTAACAAAATTATACATTTTCAGATCTCTGCATAAATATTAGTTCACTGCCGCAGGGGGCCTTGTTGCCCCATCAGTATAAGACAGTGGCAAGCAGGTAAGCTAAAGGGCCTCACACCGTGGGGCCAAAGCTAAAGAGCCTCACACTGTGGGGCTGAAAATTCCTTGTGCCTCACACCGTGGGGCTGAAGATCTAACATTCCTTCATTTTTTGTTCTTGATCATAAAGAGAGACAAAATTTCTCAAAAAGTACATTAGGCAATAAATTATATGCATCAGTATACTGCAAATTATCTGTTTAGAAATTAGTTATTAAACAATTTGGCCCACTTGACAATGGAAGGCAATTTATTGTATATACCTGACAAGCAATCCAGCACAACAATTATAGTATATCCTTTTGCTTTTTTAGAAGTTTCTTAGGAAAGTTTTAAATGAAGTCAACTGTGTTAAGAAGTTTCTAGATAGAAAAAGTTCTGATAGCTGAGTAGCAGCTGGTCTCCGGCTAAAGGTCATAAGAATAGAAGGGTCTTTCGATGCTTAGGCTTTAGCTGATAGGAATGTACTGGCAGCTATCCACTGTCTTAGGTAATTGTCTAGCTGAAATGATAAGTTTTAGTGTAAGGTTTGGTTTTTTATCTATTAACCTTGAAGGCTACCGTCTAGCTGAGACCCGTAGGAGCCAGTAGTCCGTGGGGATATAATACACTAATTGTTTCTGCTTTGCGCGTGATGATGTATTTTTTTCTGTTTACTAAAAATGAATAAGTAAAGACCTGCTGAGTTTCTCGGCAGAAGAGATTTGTACCCCATCCAGTATCAGTGTCTCCTCAATCCCCTTCCGTTCTCAGCCCCTTACAGGTCACCTAGGCAGTCTCATCCTTTCAGGTACCCCTGACATGACATTTTGCCAGAGGCTGGTCCCCGGCACTTCACTAACTTTTCTATCTGGATTAACTCTTTGTTATAACCTGATAACTCTCTCCTTTTCCTAAAACCTTGTTTTCTTTCTATTTTGTACTTACTA